TATATATATATATATATTTTCTGTATGTCTCCGGGGAGTCCTCTCGTTTTCTGTTTAAATTGTAACAGAATGTGTTCTGTTATGTACTTGCATCTATAGCAATTTTACTTGACCGTTTTGCTGAAGAAAGCTGTTTGTTCTGTTACCGCTGGATGAAATAAAAGCTGCTTATTTATATCGGACTGTGTTGAAGACGCATGTGTACCCCTGGGGTTCCCCACAGCATGTACGCACATATACGCAGCGTATTGTACGGCAGTGTGAATAAGGCCTAATACCACGTAGCAAGTTTTAAAACTAGCCAGCTTCTTCAGCAATTTTTGTAATAGAAATATGTTTTTTATAATGCAAATAGCACTAGGAGTTTACTGAATAGGGACTGCACACACAGAGGAAGTGACAAGAAGGGTAAAAACTCATGACAACCCTGAACAGGATGCTAAACACTCCCCTTACATTTAATAAGGTCACGATCAAAGACTCATCATTTAGCTGCCTGTTTTTTTTATTATTATTATTATTATTGTGCAAGCCTCCTGAATAATGATTGAAACATTTAAAATGTTCTTCCTTTTTCACTAGCAACATCTCTGACATTGCACCTAACACTTTACCATTACATCTTATCAGGGTACATATTTAGACATGCTGCCCTATGTCCTTCAAGATCCCTTCGCAAATATTTTAGTAAAAAGTAATACTAGAATGTACTAATGAAGGCTGCATGATGAATTATAGTCCCAGCCCCTACACAACTGTAAAGACCAACAAACAAATTAAAGGAGCGTTGGCTTCATGATTCTTGAACTATACTGAGTCTTCTGACACAAGACACTTACACAAGAAAAAGCACCCTACGCAAGGCAAGAACCAACCAAACATATATAAATAACAGTTAAAGAAATAGTGAAAAATAAAAATCAAGCAAAGAAGCTTAATTCAAACCAATTCATAAACCCCTTTCCAAAAACCCTTCTATACGTACTAGCAAAATTGTGCCTGTGCCAGAACGGGTAAGACTGTAATGTTTTAAAACAAAGTAAAAGATAATTTGTACTTTGTAAACATACTTTGTTAATTATAACACCATGTGTCTGATAATAAAAACCTTTACAGAGTTTGTAAAAGGTTTCTTACATCAGGCATGGTAGTAAAGCATCGTGGGATGGGGGGGGGAGTAGCTTAGTGGTTATAGTGGGGAAGAGGCAATTAGTTAGGGCTGGTGGCATGCGTGGTTGTAAGGGGAAGAGGGGGTCAGAGCGTTGGCAGGTTTTGTTGTGAAAGTGAGGGTATTAGCAGGTCTGTTGGTGAGAACAGGGGTTGGGGGGGTAGTTTAGGTGCAGTGTGAGAGCCTGTGTTTGTGTTAGGTACAGTAATGTAAGCAGGGTGTTAGGTGCATGCAGTAGTGACTAAGGTGGGTGTATTAAGCAAAAAGCAGAGAGTAAGCATGAGGGGGGTCCTTGCATGTCTGGTGCAGTGTTGAGATCGGGGCGTTAGGCGCATGTAGTAGTGGTGGAGGGGGTGCTTGAGTTAGCTGCAGTGCTGAGGGTGAGGAGGGTGTTCAGTGTAGTGCTGAGAGTAAGCATGCAAGGGATTCCTGTGTGTCTGGTGCAGTGTTCAAAGCGGGGTGATAAGTGCATTTAGTGGTGGTGGTGGGGTTGCTTGAGTTAGGTGCAGGGCAGAGGGTGTCCAGTGCAGTGGAGAGAGCAGTGCTCTAGTC